GAGGCCTGGAATTTGGGTGCATATTTTCATGGGCACAGTGCTAGAATCCAGAGCAGTCCTTGGTGGTCTGTAAAGCACTGCACAGCCTCTGCTGCTGCCTTTCACATCTACCCTGGCCTACTCTCACCCCCCTCTCCTGGCAGATGTGTGTGCAGGCCAGCCAGCTGCATTTGAAACACATCATGTCCTGCAAGGGCAAGGGAGCCAGGATCTGGACAAGCTCTTGTTGCCTAATATTTACAGAACAGGATGAGGGAGGGGAGAGGAGACGGCTGGGAATGACTTTGGTCTGTGGAAGAAAAACAAGTTTGTTGCAGTTTTTAGCAAAAATCTAAAAGAGGGAGAACTGGAGGAGGTCAGAGGAGATGAAAGTAAAGAAGAAGTGTACTAAAGAAGGTTTATTTTTAAAGCAAATTCAGGCTACCCTATACATGCAGGTGTTGATTCCCATTGCACCCCATGTTGCATTGGGGATGCCCCCAGGCTTCTGCAAAGGGGTCTGGCAGCATAAATTCCCCACCAGGCTTGAATGTGAGTTCATTAATACCCCTTGCCCCGCTGATAAGGGGAACTGGCTCAGTTCCTCTGCCACTTGCATCCTGAACATTTCCCTTCTCTGTCTTATACTGGCTCTGGCATAGGGATTTTGGGGGAGTTGGCAGCCATCTGGCATGGCTGTCATGTCCACACAAGAGACAAGCTTGTCTCTAATGGCTTTAAACTGAGCGATGGTAGGTTTGGATTAGATATTAGTAAGAAATTCTTTACTGTGAAGATGGTGAGGCAGTGGAATGGGTTGCTCAGAGAAGCTTTGGATGCCCCATCCCTGGAAGTGTTCAAGGCCACATTGGATCTAGGAAACCTGGTCTAGTGGAAGGTGTCCCTGCCCAAGGCAGGGGAGCTGGAACTCGATCTTTAAGGTCCCTGCTAACCCGAACCATTCTATGACACTATGATTCTAAGGGCAAAGTAACTCTTCTTCAAAGGCTCCCTTCTGCAGTGTAACAGGCTGGTGAGGAGAGGTGTGCAATGCCCAGAGAGCCTCACCTGCAAGTGCCTCCATCTCCCAGAGTGCCTGGCTGGAGGAAAGATAAAAGATGCAACTACTCCGCTGGCATGAGTCCCAGCAGTACCAGTGTGCTCCCACCTCACGTCTGCCTCTGTACTGGAGGAGTGAACTTAGCAGAGCTGAGGGATGAAGTGTATCAGCAGAGGTTGGTGAACAAGTCTGCAAAAGGTCTGTCTCTCCTCTGCCTCTGCATGAGCAGCTCTTCACCTCCCTGAGAGAAGCTGTGTTCCCCAGAATGACAGAAACTTTTGTTTCTGTCATGCTTTTGTTTTTGTCATTCTTTTATTTCAGCAGCTTGCATTGACTGTGAGGGAAAAGATAAAATTTGAAGGAAAAATAAATGTTTTTGGAGCTGTTCCTTATTTCAAACATGCCAGCCTGCTTCCAGTCTTAAACAATGCCTTTTTTCACAAGGCTGGGACATTTCCCTTGGCCAGGAGGGAGATTAGACCCTTCAATTTGCAGCTAGGGCTTGGCATATGGTTTTGCTGCTGCATGAAGAAGAATTAATGAAATGAGCTTTGGGCTTCCAGGAGATTTCAGGGATACTTGCTATGCCTTCTCTATGCTAAGTGATCCTGCTTGACACACACAGACAGCCCTACATTTTAGGTTTTAAATTGAGTTAGTTTTCTTTTAAATATATTATCTGTTTATTGTTATGACTTGCTTCCAGGGTCATGGTTTGCCCTTGGCTGATTGCACTGGGCTACCAGTCAGTCAGAGCCCCTGCAGAAGTGCACCAGGTTTGACCAGCTCTGTTGGCAGAGGCTTCATCTGTACTAGAAAATCTAAACATCTGTATGATTTCATGCTTAGCATGCCCTCTGGCCATCTTTTTGGCCTGTGCCAGTCAGCTCTAGCCTAAAAAAGACCTGGACACAATCTGAGAAAGAACTTGTTAAGGAGCAGTTCCCATTTCTTTCTTTATGAATGAAATAACCCTGAGTCTGGTATCAGTTTCTGTTCACATCAGAGCACCCTGGACAGGTCTGGGATCAAGCCCAGGGTTCACTTTTAAGGCTCTGAAGAACTTATTGCATGAATATAGGTGGCAGCTTTCCTAGTGTTCGACAGCATCTCTAGGTCTATGAACAGCAGGCAAGAGGGGTTTGGACACAACCATCCTGTTTTGGTGGAGAATTTAGGTGGCTTGACATGACTCATGCCCTCAGGCCTTGGACCTCTCACATGGTTTTATTTCATAACATAGATGCAATCAGATATCAAGGGGGCCATCGCTTGGCTACAGCTGTGGTGAGGACAACAGCTCCCAGGCAGTCCTGCTGTTGCCAGAGGCACAACCTTCCCATGCAAGGAAGGAGGGTGATGGCGATGGCTGTTGTTCACCAACACAGAGGCAATGCTGGGGCCAGTACAGAAGACTCACCTGCCTGCCATGAGACAGCTTTCAGCAAGTCTCCTTTCACTCTGCGGTGCCACTGACTGGCATCTTTTGTGATGGTTTTTGGAAGCTACTTCTTTTTCATTTCCCATTTGGCCTCCCAAAATGCAAGTCTCTGTGAACCAAACTCTGCATGGCCTGAGCAGAGATAAGTTTACACAGGTGATGTTCCAACACAAACAAAATCTGCAGCAGATTAGAGGATTAACATTCACCCTGAAGGCAACAGCAACTGCCAAGCCTTTTGATGAGAAAAATGGAAAAAAGTGGGAAAATGGAGAAGATCAGGTTACAAAACCAGCTCTGCTTCACCCAACTAGAAAAATTAAGCCAGGCAAGCGTGCAAGGATGGCAGAGTGCTTGAGCATAGCAAATGTTCTTGCCATTGACTGGCCCCGGGTCTCTTACAACCTTAATACGTAGCACAGCCTGGAGAAGAGGCTGGTGACAAGGAGCAGAGGCAGATGCCATAGTCAGTGGCCTGGCAGCCCCAGAGGCAGAGCTGGATGTCTCTGGCTGTGGTAGGGAGGCAGGCAGGAGGAGAGCTAGGGGTAAAGTGCTGCTGTAAGACGGCTCTCTCTCTTGCCTATCATTTTCGGACTTGCTGCTGGTTGAGCAGATCCCACTTTCTCTTTGCAGAGCTTTCAGTAGTGTATCCAACTGTAGCAGCCTGATACTGCTTCACAAATTTAGCCCTCAGAATAAGACAGCTGCTGAAGGGAGAGTCACACCTTAAAGAGTGGTAGAAAGCTGCCAAGAAACGGTATGAGATTGCTACGTATCCACAACATATGGACACATTGGCCATTGGGAAGTATCCAGCCCAACAGGATCTTAGTTCTCAGTTGGATTCCTGAGATACTGGTGACATATAATCAGAGCTTCCTTTTTCTCTGTTCTCTATGAAATAAGATGTTTCATGGGCTCCTTGCCACCTACAACAGGCATTACTGGCTTCTTCTCTCACATCGTGCCCATGTCATGGTCCAGTGGTCTGATCTCCACCTGCACCACAAAAACATTAAGTTTCAAGGTTGTAGCTACAACCACAATCTTATCTCCCTTGCCTCCAGCTGTTCCTGGCTGTCAGAATCAGATGTGGTATCCTCCACAGAAGCATGGCACTCTGCCCATTTATACCTTCAGATACTTTCTCAGTCGAGATAAGCACCGTCTTAAAACCTGGCTTCTGGCTCCTATTATGTGCCTGTTATTTCAGCAAGCTCTTGAAGAGCTGTTTTGTTTTCATTCTACAAGGGTACCTATACTAATCTGCTCCTGGCATGAGCCTTTAGGGATTTCAATGCACAACCTGAATTCCTCTCCTTCTGGATGCCTTTAGAGATAAAAAATTGTCTCCTTTCTTAGTAATTTTATTTTGTAGCTGGATGTTGGTTTGCCTTTCTTTGTGTTGAAATCTTCCTTACAGTGAAAATACTTTATTCTGCTTAATGCCCACACTTCTTCCAACACACCTTCTGCAGTCTTACAGTGTCTGCAAGAGTGATATCCATTGCAGATGGTGCTCTCAGAGGGGAGACAAACGCTCCTTTGTTATTCACTCAACACAGAATAAATGCAGCAAATTCCCCACACACTCCTGTTTCCTTTGCGGAGGGAGAGGCAAATGCAAGTGAAGATTTTTTGGGAGATGACCAGATGCTTCCAAGCAGACCAGGATGGTGTAGCTAGGCTGCTGAGTACATCCGTGGTACCCAGCCCATTTTGGAGAACCCATTTCCTGGAGCTCCTGCTCTGAAAGATGAGGAAGGGATCCCTCCCTGTCTTGTGGTGTAGACTTGATCAACCCCTAACCATGCTCTTATACTCGGCCTTAGGTCAGAGACACTTTCTGCAGTCTCTGCAGTGCAGTATCTGTGCAACAACAGTTCCCCTGTCCCCCCACGGCTGCTACAGCCCCAGGGTCTTTTGGCAGTGCCTCTGGGATGGATGTGGTGTGTCGATGGGCATCCTGCCCTCCACTCCAAACAGTTTTCATCTACTGCCAGGAGATTTTCACCCTTCTGATTTACCTGCAGGGAGGACTGGGAAATTGGTTTTTATTTGTTTGACAGCCTATTTTCCTAGCTAGACAAAAGGAACTACCATTCCCAGAGTTACTGATCAGCAGACATTTTTTATTTAACATAAACCTAGACAAAATAGTTCATCAAAGCAGTGTCTCTGCTACAACCTACTGCAAGAACATCCCACCTCCACATACCAGATCCTCTCCAAGCATCTTTTATAAGTATTCCTCCAGTTCTTCCAAGCTAGGGATAAGGTCATAATTTAAACAAGCAGACCAAGTCATCTCACAAGAAAGCCTTTGCTCTTGAACTGTCTTGGATGTATTGCAAACTGGCCAACTTCCTTGCCTACATACTTTTCAGATAGTTATTTGGCTTCCATCAGCTTTCAAATGAATGTGTTGAAACAGATGAGATTGACCCAAATTTACACAGGTAAGAAAGAAAACATCTTGCTTGAGATTTTCAGATGACTAACATGAGTTTGTGTTTTCAGATCGATCTGCTGGAGAATGACAGTGGAGAGAAGGCAAATTTTATCCTGGGATGTCACTACATAAATCAATTGATCTCAGATTCTAAGAGCAAAGCAATAGAGAGGAGTTTGGAAGGAAAAGAAAGGGTAAGTCATCTCTTTAATCTGTGTACAGTCTTTTATTAATGTGGTATTCAAGATAAGTTTTATTCTACCCCCTCCCTTTTCAATGTCCTTTGCACAAAACCTTAAGGTACAAATGCTTTCATTCTGTCAACGTGGAAATTGCTGCCACTTTTGCTCACTGTCAGTATTGGTGGTGCTGGGCACTCCAGCTTTTTGCCTCACGTCTGACCAGTCCCACTGCACATACTGACTGTCTGGGCCCTTGATTCCTGGTGGAAACCCAAAGTGAGACCTGCACAGGTACCCACAGTGATACAGAGATGTAGGTGATAGCAGATGTGCCTCCTGCTATCATGGCTCTGCTATGGAAAAAGCCACTCAGTGGAAGAACAGGAGTCCACAACCTGGTGGCAGAAGGCTTTGCTGGAGCAGGCCTCCAAGAGCTGGAAACCTTTGTCCCTGTAGCCTTTGAAGGCCATCTTCACCTGGCTGTACCAGCCTTGCACCTTCTTGGGGCGCAGTTTGGTCAGCAGGAATGCTTTTCCCCCAAAGAGAGCACAGCTTTCTGGCCAAAAGATTTTATGGCCAGCATGATCAGATTTACATGAAGGTTTTTGCCAATTTTGCTATATTGGTCAGGGCTACAGAATGGACTGAGGGTAAATGACACTCCTGGAGATAGAATTTTGCCAGAAAAACTTCTAGTGTGCCTTACTCTTAACAGCTGCCCTTCTGGTTCTATATCTCTGATTATTTTTAGTTTGCCTTTGCAATAGACAGACCCATACCTTTCTCATTAATAACGTGAAATTTGCCAAGTTCACAGTGCACATTTTAATTAACTCAATGTTTGCTTGAAAGAAAATTATATTGCTGCACTTTTATTTTATAATTCAAGTAATACGCACTGAGTGTTCACTCCTGACCTGCAAGCCCTCATATTTAAAACAAGCTGGGGGGGGGGGGGGAGAGAAAGGCATTTTTTGGCAAAGAAACTGCTGCCCTCAGGCTATTAATGCATCTTAATTCTGAACAGAAAATGAAATCACTTTGGGCATGTGCCAAGCAATACAATGACTTTCCTCTGATTTCAGGGAGTTCTTGAGCAGCCTTTCCCACATGAAGTAAGAGCCATACTCTTCATTCTGCTCTCACTTCACAAACATTTTATACTCCTACCAAGGCAGTGTCCCGGCGGAGTTTCCCCACACTAACAAAAGAAAAGCAGACCTCATTGGTGCTGTTATTTATTATTTTTATTATGGCTCAGGGCCCATGTTTGCTGTTGCTGACACTGGACTTCATGCCTGTAGAGCCAGTGGGCACATTTTTTCTTCTAACTGTGCTTTTGAGCATAATTACCTCTATATGGCATCATTTGCTGGTCCCCTGATAGTGTTACTCAGAAAGAAAGATGTCTGAACCTCTTCCTGCAAGGCAGAAGACCTGTAATAGTCATTGGGTTGCTCAAAGAAGCCAAATAGCATCCCCTTGTCACTGATTTGTCCTGGGGCATAATGCATGGTCCTGTTTAGCTACCCTGATGCTGCAGTGCTGACAAAAGGGGCTGCCTCACATCTCTTCTGCTCCCCTGGGGTCTTCTGGCCACCTCTTATCCCTCAACTAGGACCCGACATGAGAAGCTGTGAGTGAATCAGATCAGCTCACTTATTTGGCTAGAAATTAATCCAGGAAAATGTCCTTGGGGTGAGTGTGCTGGTCTGAGTGACTGCTCAGCCATGTAATGATGGGGAGAGGTGAAGGAGCAGGATGGCTTCAGTTGCTGGCAACCCACACTTAAATGTCCTCTGAGCAGTAGCTGGTAAGATATTGGCTCCCTCCTTGATGTGGGTGCAAATGCGAGCATTGCATGAGAGGACTGCAGGAGATGAGGTAAGGAGCAGAGGGGAGCAGAGCAGGGGCATGGGCATTTTCTGAAAAGGCAGCAAAAGAGATGAGCCGGAGCTGAACACTGTGGGACGTGGGGGCTGGTGAGGAACTCAGTTCAAATGAACAGGAGACAAAGCTCACCAAAGGAAAACATTTCTGTATGAACACACTTCTGCGTGAAACTATTGAGGAAAAAGAAAAAAAGCTGTGCAGGAAGAGCCCAGTGGTGAGTGGAGATTTGAGGCTGTAAGGAAAACTCTGCTTTGCTGACAGAGAAGGTTTTAACAGAGTCAAACCAGAAAGGGGCACAAGGAAAATTAGTGATGAAGAGCCATTTAGCAATTGAACAGAGGGGACTCAGAGAGCACGGGCATCTAGAAGAAGAATGTGGGGTGGTGGTGCCTCATAAAATGGAGAGCCAAGGACAGCAGAATGCCGTAGGCACTGCTGAAAGGGGGGGGGGTAGCAGAGGGCCTGAGCTACAACCAGCAGTTAAAGTGAAGCCAGCAGCAGAGGAACATCAGCAGGATGTTGGTGTGCTGCATTGCACCGCGGAAAGCAACAAGCAGACCTGGCTCTCCAGAGTCCAGGTGAGAGCTTGTCATTTGAGCAGATGGAAAAGTACCTGGCCCTACCCACATGTGTGACTGCAGAGAACCTCCAAGGACAGCAATTCAGCAGCAGTGACATTGCACTCTTCCTGACACTGCACAGAGCAGGAAAAAAAATTGATGAGGCATCTCTAATTCTGATAACAGGACCTAGGAGACACACTGATGACATCGGATCTTCTCATGGGGGCACAGGCCAGCAGCCATCCTGGGACAGAGTAAAGTAGAAGCACAGCCCGAGCTGTCCCATGAACACCGTTGTGAGACTGGCAGGATGCAGTCACCTGCATTTGGCACAGCAGGGAAGTGCAGTGTTTCAGACAGATATAAATCAACGTGTCAAATATCTCCAGTGCTGTGATACAGAAATGCCAGCAAAAGCAGTCCTGGGACAAAAAGCCTTCAGTCCCTGAAATTTGATAAAAAATCTTAGAGCTTACCTTACAGCAGAGCAAAGCTTTTCTGGATTTTGAAGACATGAGATGGATAGTTTGTCAGGGCCCTGGGTACATTCTCCCCCTTCTAGGATTTTGGCTGGCAGCTCCAGACCAGCTGGCTGGTCAGAACTGGTGAAAAAAAAAGAGCTGGAAGAAGCTGTTGTGGAGGATCCCCTGCATAGCTCTGCTGAGATGCTTTCATGGGAGATCCCCTCCTTAGCCTGGGAACTGCTTTTCAGTCACAGCTCTCTCATGCTTGACTCCTGCCTGAGTTGTGCCATGGCCATGTTCGTGCCAGGCTGGTACCCTGCTGATGGGAGCCCTGACCCTGCCATGAGCTCTTGATTTCCTGGCTGAACCTCAGGCTTGCCTCGTCACTTTGGGTGTTGCTGCTCCCGGTTATGGTTTCATTGTGCCTGCCAGGCTTGGGCAGGGGCACTTGTCCAGCAATGGATCTGTGCTGCGGTGGAAAATGATGGATGATATCTCCTCTGCTGCAGGGAAATTGAATCAGCAGGAATCACTGAAGATGACATTCCAGGCTCCCTCGGGATTCCAACACAACCCCTCCGTGCAAGAAAGCAGCTACTGCCTGAAATTATGAATGCACACCATGGCATCCACCACCACACCATGGCATCCACCACCAGCATGACTCAGAAAGAGCTGGGGAGCAAAGCCTGAGGCACAACTAAAGACAATTGAGCAAGTGGAGAAAGCACTGGAATGATTTTGCATAATAATTACAGGGAAAGAGAGAAACATCATTATAATCTGTAGCTGCACAGGCTACTGAGATGAATAAAGCAACAAAATATTGCTCTTTGCACACCCGAGATGTGATCACCTGTCTGCTCTCTACACCAAATGTGCTACATGTACTAAATGCTCCATGTGGGCACAAGCAGTTCAGGCTGGACCAGGAAAGCAGAATGGTAATGACTTTAAGAACACAGTATTTCAAGTGTCTGCCTCTTGAAATACTGCTTATCCTGGAGATATTTCCCAAAAGATTCCCAAAATAACACAAAACTGGTGAAGGGCGAGAGTCACTCTTGATGATATTCTTAGGCATGACAGATGCAGAGAAAAACATGACAAAAACCCCCATACATCCATTGCTACACCCCCAAAAACCAGCAGCATTACCTACATGAAGCAGAGAGTGCAGCCTAAAATTGAGTCACGGCAAAATGCAAATCCATGCAAAGGAACTGAATTATTTTGTCCACGCTGCAGAAAGAGAAGACATCAGATTTGATTCAAAGTAAAGAAAGCAGCTAATGAACAGCAACTTCCCTCTCAAAGTCAGCAAATGCACAAGGAATATTGACATACCTCTCAAGATTTGTACCATGAGCAGCATAAATGCATGTCTTATGAACTGGGGAAGGATATAAATGAGGAAGGCTTAGAAGGGGCATTGGCAAGAAAACATTAAACAAGACCTCCAAATCAACAAAAGCAAGAAAAATACCACATCAGACAGTTAAAGCAGCAGAAAGGACCTCTGGTAGCATATGGATGAACTGAAGCCAATGCTGCAAAACTATATTCCTAGAAAAGCACTTGTTTGGCTGTCATATTTTACTCTGGCACCATACTGGACCACAGGCTAACACTGCAAGCAATTCACAGTCCCTTAGCAGATGTTCTTCACAAGTCTCATGCTCCTGTACAACCAAGTAATTCACATATAACTCTCAACCTAGAAAGACTCAAATTGAAAGGGAAAATATAATCAGAGGAAGACAAGTTCTTCTGGCATGTCTTCTTCCTTGAAATTTCATACCGGATAGGAAAAAAAGTGTCTACATTTAAGTTATCAGAATAGCAGGAGAAAGCAGAATGTGGAATGTGCTGGGTTTTAAAAGGAAGCAAAGAGAGCAGAGTGACCCACACAAGAATAACAAGCTCCCTTGGCTATTGCAGACTTTTGGAATGAGAAAAACGTTGTCTGCAGAGAAAACAGTAAGGCTGAAAGGTAAGGAGAAACTGTGATTCCTAGCAAAATGGATATATATATATATTTAAAAAAAAAAAAAAAAAAGACGGACAAAGGGCATTTTGCTATAGTGCTTTAGAAAAAGAAAGTAAAAGAAAACATGAGTTTTTGACATGGTGCAAAAGCATGGGTAGAAGGAAGTATCGGACATTGCAGCTCAAACAGAAACAGTACTGCTAGAGATGAATCATAGTTTGTGTTATCGGCAGAAACTGACAATTAGGAGAGATACCACAACCTACTTATCATGAATTATTGTCACAAGGTAGCTTTTGTTTAGCTACATCATTACCTATCAAATTTACGGCACTGTGTCGAATCCCACAAAGGCAACATACAGTTTACAATGATGTCTGCAGTTCTTCCAATAAAGTGGGGTAAGAGGGTCCAGGAGAAGTTCTTGGGATGTCAGCTGCTGTCTGTGTGATTAATGTGTCAGGAGCGTGGGAGCAGACTGTGAGGGGCTGGGAGCCAGCTATCGGTGGAGACGTGCACAGAGTTGTGCTGTTAATTATCATCTACAGTTTCTGAGCTGACCTTAGAAACATTGTCACCAGCAGAGAGGCCATTTACACCACAAGGGCTGTGCTCACGAAATGACACAGCAGAGTTCAAATGCAATGGCAAGCTCTTCCTCTTCTGTCCACTACTTTTTCCAGCTGCCCCTTATTTGAATCAAATGGCAACATATGTCATACTCTGAGCTTTTTCCCATTTGTAGATGGGATGTAAAGATGGGGAGGTGACTTTTAAGAGAGACTGAGCAAGCAATTCTGGGATCCTGTTTCCTCTTGTTTGCATACAGGTGTGTGTGAAGATGAATTGAGCCATGGGGTGGAAGCAGGGCTTGAAATGTTGAATTAATTCAGTGCTGATCACTATTTGCTGAGGGCAACAGCAGCTAAGGCAGTGCAAGATTTTGGGCATTTGATATGATATCAAAATGTCGGAGACTGACTACTGCAATTTAGGGACATGGTTTAGTGGGACTTGGCTAAGTTTGCAGTTGGACTCAATGATCTTAAGTATCTTTTCCAACCTAAATGATTGTATTATCTCAAAGAAGAAACTTGTGGTTTCAGAGCAAAAAATGTAAAATGTGACCCAGATAGAACCAAAGAGTAAAAGACAAAAGAAAAACTTTGCCAACTCATCTGTTTCTCTGAAAGCTCAGCATGAAGCCTCCAAATTTCCCACACTTCCATGAGGGAACAAACAAGCACTGAATGGCTCGTCGTCTGCAAGAGGTGTCAAAATAAGGGGGTAATGGTTTTATCTTCCCTTTGAACACCAAATTCTGTGTTGCATTGGCCCAAGTTGTCACCTAATTTTTGGTCCATCGTAACAGAAATGCAACAGTTTTGTAAGGGAAGGGAGATGCCCAGCAGGACTGTGCATCCTTGTTCTCCAACCAGAGCATGCAAGGAGGAGAAAAGAGACTTTATTTGAAAAGTGGGCCAACCAATATCACATCCAATATGCATTTGCAAAATACAAGTCAGTCCTGGCTCATCCAAAAGTGCCAGGCTCACCAAAAATACCAGCATCTCATGGGGCTTTTATTGTTTTCAAAGGTCTGTAATTTGAACATTTTAGGGCATTGAGGAATGTAAGTTGTTTAGTGAGATCGCAAAATTCTTCTGTGAAACTTGTTCTGTTTTCAGTCTTGCTGTGCTGTCTTTGGAGGGTTTAACCAAAAGGTATTTACAGGCTAAGCTCCCAGACAGTGGGGTTACTTAACTGGGAGGGCTCAGGTGTCTCAAGTATTGGTTTTAGAGGACAGAGTTGGTGGGAAAGAGGGTCCATATCCCCAGAATTGGTGTCATACGAGGGGAATGAGTCTGGGAATATGCACTTACTACAGATCATAAACCATGGAATTTCCTTTGCTGTGATCTACGTCCATTGCCACTCATCCTTTCAACTTGGACCTCTGTGAAGTGTATGACTCTCCCATAACCCTCCCTTTAGTCAAAGACAGCAAGTAGGTCCCCCACAACCTTTGTTTCTCCAGTAGTAACAAACCCAGGTTCCTCAGTGTCTCCTTATGCGTTAAGTACTCCAGATTCCTGAATTTCTTGGTGGACCCCACTCAGCATATCAATATCCTTCATGTTCCAGATACAGCCTTGTGAGCACTGAATAAAGGGAAATAATCCCTCCCCTTGATTTACTCTCTTGCTTGTGCAGTCCAGTATGCACTTGGCATACATGGCTGCTGAGTGCACTTCTGACTTCAACTAGTAGTTTTCTGGGAGCCTAAGGCCTTTTTCTGCAAAGGTGTTTTCTGGACAGTCAGCAGCCAGCCTACGCTGGGAAGAAGGGCAAAACTTTGCCCTTTTCACTGTCAAACTTTGTGAGGCTTCTGCCAATCCTCTTCTCCAGCTTATTTAGATCTTTCTGAATGGCAGCACTGCCCTCCAGCACACTCAGCACTACTCTGGGTTTGTATCATCTGTGAACTCTTCAAGGTGTTCTCTTCCTCCTTTTCCTCCCATAGAAGAGGATGTTAAATGGTATTCGTCCCTGCATTGACCCCTTGAGAAATGTTACTCACAAGTGGCTTCCAATTAGACTTTGGAATGTTGACCTCTACCCTTCAAGTTCACCTGTCCAGCCTGTTTTTTACTCACTTTGTAGTCCACTCATCCAGTCAATACCACCCTGTGTTGGCTACAAGGATGCTATGGCCCAGTATTCTAATAATCCAACACTTAATTTGGTGAGGGAGAAACATGTATGCACCTAGACAGCAGTCATCAAAGAGGTTACCTGTATCACATTTGGCCACATCTTCTCAGCTGGCAATAGATCAGCTGGATCAAAGCTCTCTGGAAAGTGGTAGAGCGAGACACAGGGCCAGAACTTACACATGGCAGTAAAACTGTCAGGGAATTGTGGCAAGCGGCCAGAACCACAAGCTGTGCTATGCCAGTCACAGATGGGAAATGGAAATTTGTGACATTTTGTACTTCAACCCAAAATCTGAACAGATTTTCATGAGACCATATTAAAAAAGTTGTCTTTCCCTGACTTATGTACCCTGCCACATTTCATAGACTTCCTACAACACTGCAAGTATTGCAAGAAAAAGGAAAGTCATGAAAGGGTAAGGGAAGAGCTTTTTCATTTTAGCTTAAGGAATGTACCAGGATGCCAAGTTTTAGGAGTGTGAACTCCTCTGTAAAATCAAAGGAATCAGGATCCAGTTTTCAGCCAGGGTCCACTAGTTATTTCTAACAGCTGGCCACAGGAACCAGTTGCTGTAGTCCAGAAAGACTGGTGTTTGTGCTGATAAATTCAAACAGTTTCCTGAGGGGTCTGATAAGGTCAGCTGAGGATCTGAAAGGAAAAAACTGAAGGGAATGGGTCCTCTCTCACATGTAAAGTTCTTGCTTCAGCTTCCTGAATTTCTACTTCTTTTTGAAATGGTTGAAAAAACAAATCTGCACTGTTAAAACTATTCTTTTCCCAAGACCCCTTTCAGAACACAAGTATGCTGTTTCTGTAAGAACTTAAAAGGAAATACATGTCTGAGACGGAGAGCAAGAATGGAAAATTTCAGTACAAACAAACGGTGAATGTTTGGCAGCCAGGACAAGGTTTTGTAATGCACTGTATGAGAGGGGTTGTCTTGTTGGCTCTACCAATGGTCAGATTTCTAAGGAAAGAAAAGAATGTGCTTGTTGGAATGTTTTTTCTTTTGCAGAAAATGCTCCAAAAGGCTGTTATGGTGGTGAAGTAGCAGGTATTTTTTCAGATGGAGTCTAGTGTGTTCCAAAAAAATGTCTGTGCCCTCTTTCTCTTCCTTTCCCTTGTCCTAGCCTTGGCCAAACTCTTTAGGCACAACTCTTCTTTGTCCTGCTGTACTCGGCCTTCCCAGCTCCAGCCCACTTCCTTCTGCCTTTATTTTACTGAGATCAGCCTTGCCAGCAGCGTGGAAACAGAAACAAATGGATTTAGCTTGTGTTTTCTGCGCTTTACAGGACTGCGAAATGATGGAAAGCTTTGGTGCAACCTTATCTGTCCATCAGGAAGGTCAGTTGAAGTTAAGTACCATCATTAGGAATGCAAGACTGCAGCCACCAGGTTTCATGTTCTTTCCCATCTCCCATCAGGAAATGACCCAAGGACGCATATTTCTCCACAGATCATCTATTGCTTTTCCCAAGGACACAAATCTGGCCATCTTAAGAGGGCTTTGTTTTAGTGTCTTTCCATTTTCAAACACTAAAATGAGGCATTTCCACTACAGAACAGTACTTTTGTTTGAAAGGTAATCCACCATGAGAAGGTAAAAATGGAGCTGTGTCTGAGGAGTAACACAATGTCCATATCTCCATGTCATCACATGAGCTGAAGGCCACTGCGATGGCCCTGGCACTTCCCGCTCACTGGATGGGTCTATGGGTACCGGCTTTTATCTTCATAGGTTTGGGTGAGGGCAGCAGCATGCGTTTATTTGAAGGGTGGATGAGTTTGCCCATTTGATTCCCAGGTGGAGGCAGGGAGTCTGTTATTTCTGTGCTATCCTGATGCCTTTGCCAGTTGCTCAAGCAGCTTGAGGAAGGAAAGACATTTACCTGCAATGCTGAGCAGAATGGTGAGGACCAGATGGGAAGAAAAAGGGTTATACTGGGACAGCCTCCTGCCCCTGAAACAGGGAGAAGACAGTGACTGTGGGTAGCAAAGGGTGACCAGGGATGTGTAGGACAGGAACAGTAGGATCTGGAGTACTGAGGGAGATCAGACTGAGAGTGGGGAGACACAGCCAGAAGCAGCTGAGGTGGAGGGACTGTGGACAGCCTGAGGAGAGACTGGGAAGGATGGGTGACTGGACAAGGAGCTGGAGGAAGGGAGCCTTGGATCAGAAGATGGATGTTTGGGGGAATGGTGGTGAGAAGAGGAAGGAGCCTCAAAGCTGAAGGTAGACAGGTACTTTGAGGGGCGAGTAGAGAAAGCATGCAGGGAGCAATTCC